AGAGCCTCTACACACAAGCACGCACACACACACAGCCCCTTCACACAAGCACACATGCGCGCACACACAGCCTCTACACACGAGCACCCACACACACACACAGCCTCTACACACGAGCACCCACACACACACACAGCCTCTACACACGAGCACCCACACACACACACAGCCTCTACACACGAGCACACACGCACACATAGCCTCTATACACGAGCACACATGCACACACACACAGCCCCTACACACGAGCACACGTGCACACACACACAGCCCCTACACACAAGCACGCACACACAGCCCCTACACACAAGCACACATGCACACACACACAGCCCCTACACATGAGCACACATGCACACACAGCCCCTACACACGAGCACACATGCACACACAGCCCCTACGCACGCACGCACACACAGCCCCTACGGACGCACACACACACACACAGCCCCTACACACAAGCACGCATACAAACACACAGCCCCTTCACACAAGGACGCATGCACACACACAGCCCCTTCACACAAGGACGCATGCACACACACACACATGAAGGACGCACATGCACACATGTGGGTACCCACCACCCCTCCCCAGAGCTAGCCCTTACTGGCCTCTTGTCCCAGAGATGGATGATGAGGACTATGAGCGGCGCCGCAGCGAGTGTGTCAGTGAGATGCTGGACCTAGAAAAGCAGTTCTCGGAGCTAAAGGAGAAGTGAGCATGGGGACACCTTGGGCTGGGTCTGCGAGGAGCTGGGATGAGGAGGCGGTGGGCCTGGTACTGGGCAGGCGTGGTTGGTGCCCAGGAAGTGCACGCCTAACACAGGGCTTGCTGTGGAATGGGTGCTGGGTACATGTTTGCCCAAGAGCAATAGGTGAGCAAATGGGTGCACGGCTGCCTTTTTTACCACCCAGGTTGTTCAGGGAACGACTGAGTCAGCTGCGGTTGCGGCTGGAGGAAGTGGGGGCTGAGAGAGCCCCTGAATACACGGAGCCCCTTGGGGGGCTGCAGCAGAGCCTCAAGATTCGCATTCAGGTGGCAGGTCTGTGGGTGGTTCTGTGCCTTTTTCCCCTCCCAGAACCCATGGCACCCTGTCCCCTTCCTCTCTTGTTCCTCCCTGGCCTCACCCTTTGCTTTCAGCCCTCCTGTGTGGGCACCAGGCTCCCCAGCCAAGCAGGGCCCCTCCTTCCTTTCTCTGCAGGGATCTACAAGGGGTTCTGTCTGGATGTGATCAGGAATAAGTACGAATGTGAGCTGCAGGGAGCCAAACAGCACCTGGAGGTGGGCCTGATTGGGCACACTGGGGACAAGGCGGGGCGCAAGGCCTGAAGTGAGCTCTCCCCATCCGTCCTGCTGAGCTATTGCCCCCTCTTCCAGAGTGAGAAGCTGCTGCTCTATGACACACTGCAGGGGGAGCTGCAGGAGCGGATCCAGAGGCTGGAGGAGGACCGCCAGAGCCTGGACCTCAGCTCCGGTGAGCACGAGAGCCTGGGCACCCCGGCCCTGGGCTTGGCTCTGTCAACGCCCACCCCTCTCTGGACTTCAGATGTCCTGAAGTCAAGGGGACAGTCAGAGGACCTGCCTCTTGGGGTCAGTGTGAGGACTGAAGGAAACCAGGCCTGGAAAGGGCCTGGCACACAGTGGGGGCTCGGGCAGAGTGGGTCTCCCTGCCCTCTTCTGCCCCTGCTCTTTCCAAAACAGGTATCAGTGTGACATGCAGTCCCATGCAATAGCTCTAGTCCCCTCCACGTTCATAGTACCTGTGTTTATGTGGAGTCCTGGGGTGGCAGGAATTGTCATCATCCCACTGTCCACTAAACAGATGAGGCCCACAGAAGTGCAGCGGCCTCTTCCCGGGGTTGTGCAGCTGTGCGGGCAGGACCTGAACAGCCCTAAGGGGCTTCCTACCCCAAGCCCAGGGTGGTGATGGGGCAGGGGATATGAGGCCAGGCTGGCCCATGGTGGGGGCAGAGGCTACAGAAGAGAGAGTGTCCTGTGGGCCAGCACCCCAGTTCTAACTCTGGGTCTGGGGGCAGAATGGTGGGACGACAAACTGCACGCCAGAGGCAGCTCCAGGTCTTGGGACTCCCTGCCGCCCAGCAAGAGGAAGAAGGCACCTCTGGTTTCTGGTATCCTTTCACCCAAGGTGGCCTAAAAGGTGGCAGGATGTTAGGGTCACCTCCAGACCTGGGGGAGAGGTTTGGAGGGGACATGGAGGGTAGTCGCACTAGATGCACTTGTGGTTGCTTGGTGTCATGTGACCATGTCCAGGCAAATCCAGCTGTCAGCAATTTCTTACAGGGTCTTGGGTCTCTCTGGGCTATGTGGACCCTAGGAAAACAGAAACGGGCTAGGCTCAGTGGCTCACATCTATAGTCCCAGCACTTTGGGAGGCCAAGGCAGGTAGATTGCTTGAGCCCAGGAGTTCATTTCGAGACCACCTTGGGCAACACGGTGAAACCCGTCTCTAGAAAAAAATAGCAAAAATTAGCCAGGTGTGGCGGTGTGCATCTATAGTCCCAGCTACTCTGAAGGCTGAGGCAAGAGAATTGCTTGAGCCTGAGAGATCAAGGCTGCAGCGAGCCATGATGTGCCACTGCACTTGAGCCTGAGTGAGGTTTGGCCTTTGAGGCCTTTCCATCTCCTGGGGTTGTCTGAGCGGGTCCCCAGCTTTCCCTGGGGAGCCTTTGCTCATATCCCACCCACCCTCCTCTTGGAAGTCCTGCTTGTCCCGACTGTCCAGGGCTCATCTCAAACGTTACCTCTTCTGTGAGGCCTCTCCGGTCTTACTCCAGTGCCTATGGCTTCACTCTCCTGTGTGCTCCTGTGCCCCACCATGGGGTGCCCACATTCCAGAGGGCACCAGCTGCCTCCGCCCCTCCCTAGGCAGGCTTAGCTTAAGCTTAGTCCAGGGCCTGCTGTGCTTTCATCTGTCCTGGCAGAGCTGAGTCCTCCTGTGCCCCTGAGGGCATTCCTGCAGCAGCCAGCCTTAGTCATTATGGCCACCTGGTGCTGGAGAGCAGGCCCAGGCAGGGAGGGAGGAATCTGGAAGGCCGTGACTTGAGCGAATGGGAGGTAAAGGCATGGAGACATCAGGTAGGGAGCACTGTGGGGAAGGGGAGTTGTCTCTGAAGGGAGAAGTCCTGCGTCTGTCTTTGGATCGGGGAAGGGGCCAGGTCAGGGCCAGTGCTGCAGGGTGAGATGGGATGGGCCTCAGCCAGCTGACCTCAAGACGAGGTGAGGGTGAGCAAGGGATGGGGAACAACACTTGGTGTCCTCCATGGACTGGGTTCCAGGAGGACCCTGGAACTGGGGGGCGAAGAGGTAGGAGGTGGAACCTGAGCTTGGACCCAGATCCTCAGCTCCCACTTCATGCTGTCTGCTGTACCCCCACTCCTGAATGTCAGGTGGGTGGCCCTGCCCTCGTCACCTGCCGCCTCCACTGGGCTTCCTTGACCCCCACCACAGGCCCATACATCGTGTACATGCTTCAAGAGATCGACATCCTGGAGGACTGGACGGCCATCAAAAAGGTGGGGCCGCTGCTGCCCATGTGCCCTGCCCCACCTCAGGGCCCCCCACCCTGGCAGCAGCTCTGCCATCTGCAGGCCTGGGAGTTCTCTGCTCACCAAGGTTCCCCCATCTTCAGCCCAGGGTCCCTGGATCGCAGTTGGCTCACAAGTCCTCTTGCTCAAGGCGGCCCTGGGAGAAGGGATTTCTAGTCTGTGTCAGCCCCTTCCTGTTCCAGGGCAGGTTTTGATGGGGTGGGAGGGGGGCGGGGAGGCGGGAGAGCCGTTGAGCTGGCCAGCGGTCAGGAGCATGGGAGCTCTGGCTTGGGGGGCCCTATGTTCCTGGCCCTGGGGGCATAGCACTAAGGCAGCAGCCCACATGCCACAGAGGTGGGAGGTGGGGCAGGGATTGCCAGGCTGTAGGTGGGCTCTCAGGGGGGCTTTTCTTCTCATCCACCCAGGCTAGGGCAGCTGTGTCCCCTCAGAAGAGAAAATCGGATGGTAAGAACTATGGCTGTTGTACGGCCTCCCCTGCCCGCCTTGCCATCACCTTCCCTCAGCTCAGCCTCCAGGAAGGAGCCCAGAGAGGGGCTGTGACTGTGTCAGAATCAGTGGCCCAAGAAAGTTAGGATGGTCTAGATTTGAGGGGCTTGTGGGAGTTTGAGGAGCAGGAACCAGGATGGGGCTGGGGAAGCCTGGGTTGATGGAGCTCCCACTCAGGAGGGGTCAGGGAGGGCCGTGGAGCTGCCCAGGAGGCCTGTCCTGGGCCAGCCCAAAGTCACTCCGCTCAGTAAGTGGCTGCCCCCCTCCTTTCAGCTTCCTCACTGGTGACAGTTTTCTCCTTCCCACATATACACAGGACCGTGACCCTGCTGTTCAGAGCCAGGGGGACCCTCAGAGCAGCTGGCACCGCACCCAGGATTCTCATCTTCCTGCTGCAGACAGGCAGACCCACAGGCCCCTCAGGGTCTGCCCAGCCAGGCTCCTGTGGTGCTGCTGGGCCCTCCCACTCCACTGGCACTGGCCTGGACTCCTCCTCTGCCCTCCTCGAGGCCTGCACAGCTGTGGCTGTGGAGCCAACCTGGCCAGGCAAGGCCGCTCTCTCCATCCCTGAGCCGCCTGCCACCTCCCGCTCCTGAAGATCCGCCTCTTGGGGCTCCCCTGACAGAGAAGACAGCCGAAGTCAAAGCCACATCCTCTTGCTGAGCTTGGATGCAGGCTTTCCGGCCTCAGGGCCAGGGAGCCAGGCCCCACTGTGCAGGAACTCTGAGTCAGACGTGATGTCTAGGGGGGCTGTCCACCCTGGCTGGGGCTGGAGGCAAGATGCCAGGCCCCCCAGGTTTTCTCAGGGCAGTTCTTGGTGTCTGCCTCTCAGATTTCAAGGACTAGAATTAAAACCTTTCCTGGGATTCTGGCGTGCCCCGTGTATGTGTGATTTACCTTGCAAGAGAATCAGGGCTTCTGTGGGGAGCACCTGAACCAGGCTGACTTCTGGGGTGCCTGCAGATTGCCACTCCTCGCACTGCCCAGCAGAGGCTGGAGCACTGTGCGTGGGGCCACACGGGGGAGGGGGAGGTGGGCGCTGGGCTGCCTGGCACTGGGCAGAGAACATATGGCGCCAGCGGAGTGCCTCGGGTGGGGAGGATGGGTGCGTGTGCTTGAAGCCTGGGTCATGTCTGCACCTGTCCCAGTTGCCTGGCAGATTGGCAAGGCAGGCTGGCAGAGCCTGCGTGCGTAGGAGGCAGCCGGCAGCAGCGCCATGTGCTAACGACCTCACAGCCAGACTCCCCCTGGTTAGTGCTGAGTGTCAGAACCACCCCCAGAACCTCAGTTAAGCAAATAGGTTGGTTTCCATGGAGACATGGCATATTTTCTCCATGGCAACCTAAAATCCTAAAACCCATGTTCAGGAATGAGTCATCTATGGACAGTAGAGGGTGCTCTCCCACAAGGCTGACCTGAGGCCAGGGGCAGATGAGCAACTGACCACAGACCCAGAGGTGCCCCCAGAGTGTGGCTGGGCCCTGCAGGGACTGAGTCGGCCGTTTAACCACTTCCCGCCCACCTGTGCAATTTGAGGAGCTGGTGAGGCTGCAGGAGGCCCTGTGTGGAGGTGGCACCCCCCAGCTGGGGCCCTCAGAGCAGGGCTAGCACGGAGGGGATCCCTGACCCCCGAAGCAGGGTCCAGAACAGAGGAGGCAGGCACTGGCCAGGCGGGGTGGACACACAAGAGTTAACAGGCGGGTGTGACAGGCGGACCGCCCTCAGGAAGTGTTACTCACTGGGGATGTGCGTGCCTTGCCTTGGGGTTGGATTCTCTTCCTGAAGCTGAAGGAGCTCCCAGCCATGGAAAGCCCTGGAGAGTCAGGCACGGGCCCTCCGGGAGCCCCCAGCCCATCCAGCTTCACTCCTGGGCACCTGGAGACAGAAAAGTTAGTGAAGTTGGCAGGGCAGCCAGGTGGGGCAGGGAGGGGCTGCGAGAAGAGGGCCTATCTGGGGACGGAGAAGGTGGGAAACCTGGGAGCGGGGAAGAGGAGAGCAAGGGTCCCAGCCCCTGGCTCCCTGCTCAGATCTGGATGCCCGCCCTCAGGCCAGCCCAAGACCCACTGTATGACGTGCCCAATGCCAGCGGCGGGCAGGCAGGCGGGCCACAGCGGCCGGGACGCGTTGTGAGCCTGCGGGAGCGCCTGCTGCTCACCCGGCCTGTGTGGCTGCAGCTGCAAGCCAACGCAGCCGCGGCACTGCACGTGCTGAGGACCGAGCCCCCGGGGGTGAGTCTTGCCCCCAACCTCCAGGGACTGGCAAGCCAGGGGTGGGAGGGAGAAGGGTGGGATGCCAAAGTCCTGAGCTGCCTGAGCCCTATCCACTTGCAGACGTTCCTCGTGCGGAAATCTAACACCCGACAGTGCCAGGCCCTGTGCATGCGATTGCCCGAAGCCAGCGGCCCCTCCTTCGTCTCCAGCCACTACATCCTGGAGAGCCCTGGCGGTGAGGGGCTGGCCTGGCAGGAAGGGGCTGGAAGGAGGGAGGTTCCCTAGAGAAGCACCTCACTTCCCTCCTCTCTCAGGCGTCTCCTTGGAGGGCTCGGAGCTCATGTTCCCAGACCTAGTCCAGCTCATCTGTGCCTACTGCCACACCCGGTGAGTCTGCCTGCAGGGTGCCCGGTGTCCACGGGCCCTGCTCCTTGGGACAGCCCATCCTCCCCACCCCCTTCGGCCCTCACTCCCTTCTGCTCCCCTCTCTGGCCTCAGGGACATCCTTCTCCTCCCGCTGCAGCTCCCCAGAGCCATCCACCGTGCAGCCACCCACAAAGAGCTGGAGGCCATCTCCCATCTGGGCATTGGTAAGAGCTCCTTGCCACCCATTGCACAGATGAAAAAGCTGAGGCTGAGGGGAGGGGAAGGCTCGCAGCACACGGCCTTCGCGAAGCCCATGCCTTTCCTTGCTTGGGAAACTTCCCCTAACCAATCCTGGAGGCCCCAGTTGGTTTCTTGTTCCCTAGAGTTCTGGAGCTCCTCCCTCAACATCAAGGCTCAGCGGGGCCTGGCTGGAGGCCCAGTGTTGCCCCAGCTGAAGGCCCGGTCCCCTCAAGAGCTGGACCAGGGCACCGGAGCCGCCTTGTGCTTCTTCAACCCCCTGTTCCCGGGGGACCTGGGGCCCACCAAGCGGGAGAAATTCAAGAGAAGCTTCAAAGTGCGCGTGTCCACAGAGACTTCCAGCCCCCTATCTCCACCTGCCGTGCCGCCTCCCCCCGTCCCTGTGTTGCCAGGGGCAGTCCCCAGCCAGACAGAGCGGCTGCCCCCTTGCCAGTTGCTGCGGAGGGAGAGTTCAGCGGGGTACCGCGTGCCAGCAGGCGGTGACCCTAGCCTTCCGCCTATGCCCTCCCTCCAGGAGGTGGACTGCGGCTCCCCCAGCAGCTCCGAGGAGGAGGGGGCGCCAGGGTCCCGGGGGAGCCCAGCGACCTCACCCCACCTGGGCCGCCGGCGGCCTCTGCTTCGGTCCATGAGTGCCGCCTTCTGCTCCCTACTGGCGCCGGAGCGGCAGGTGGGCCGGGCCGCAGCGGCACTGATGCAGGACCGACACACAGCCGCAGGCCAGCTGGTGCAGGACCTACTGACCCAGGTGCGGGCCGGGCCTGAGCCCCAGGAGCTGCAGGGCATCCGTCAGGCACTGAGCCGGGCCCGGGCCATGCTGAGCGTGGAGCTGGGCCCTGAGAAGCTGCTGCCGCCTAAAAGGCTGGGTGAGGCTCCGTCTCTCCATAGCTCCAGCACTGCCCCATCCGACCCTCTGCTCCCCTCCACAGCGCCAGCCTGTCTGATTCTGTTCTGCTGCTTTACAAACCCACCCTGTCTTGCCACTGTTCGAGAGAGTTCCATCCTCTCTCTCCCCAAACTCTTCTGTCTCACCCAGGCGACCTCCTCCTGCTTTCCTTGCCTCTCCTCCCCGATTCTACCCCTGCTCCCTTCTCCCCTGGCCTCTGTCCCCCATCTCCCCAGTCTTCCCCTGACCCCTCCCTGCCCCTCCTCTGGCAGAACATGTCCTGGAGAAGTCATTGCATCGCTCTGTGCTCAAGCCTCTCCGGCCCATCCTGGCAGCCCGCGTGCGGCGCCGGCTTGCCGCAGACGGCTCCCTGGGCCGCCTAGCTGAGGGCCTCCGCCTGGCCCGGGCCCAGGGTCCCGGAGCTTTTGGGTCCCACCTGAGCCTGCCCTCCCCAGTAGAGATGGAGCAGGTGCGCCAGAAGTTGCTGCAGCTGCTCCGCACCTACTCACCCAGCGCCCAGGTGAAGCGGCTCCTGCAGGCCTGCAAGCTGCTCTACATGGCCCTGAGGACCCAGGAGGGTATGTCTCTGCCACCACCTCACCCTGCCCTGCCCCTCTGAGTCGGAGGTGGGACCCCCAGTGGCAGGTCCCCAGGACCCTGGAATGGCCCTGCAGGAGAGAATGAGCCCACCCTCCCATCTTGCAGATTGCAAAACTGAGGCCTAGAGAGCAGTGCGTTCTCTCCGAAGCCCTGCCATGGTTGCTAGGCCATGGGGAGGGGTCACTGCCTAAAGCAAGGACTGCACCTGAAGCTTTTTCCTCTCACCATGTCCCCACAGGGGAGGACGCGGGTGCTGACGAGTTCCTGCCTCTGCTGAGCCTCGTCTTGGCCCACTGTGACCTTCCTGAGCTGCTGCTGGAGGCCGAGTACATGTCAGAGCTGCTGGAGCCCAGCCTGCTCACCGGAGAGGGTGAGGGACCCCCACCCACTTCCCTGCCTGGGTGGGCCCTGAATAAGCAGGGAAGGGGAGAGGGGATGGGTGCCCCACACCCAGCCTGAGCCGTGTTCTTCCACCCTGTGTCCCAGGTGGCTACTACCTGACCAGCCTGTCTGCCAGCCTGGCCCTGCTGAGTGGCCTGGGTCAGGCCCACACCCTCCCACTGAGTCCCTCGCAGGAGCTACGGCGCTCCCTCAGCCTCTGGGAGCAGCGCCGCCTGCCTGCCACCCACTGCTTCCAGGTAACAGGCCCTCCACCGTGTCCTCAGAGCCAGACACCGTCCCCGCCTTTCACCTTCCTGTCCTTGGTGAAGAGTCCAGACTCTGTAGCCAGATCCTGGGTTCTAATCCCAGCTCTGCCACTGGGTTGTGGGGACTTGGGCAAGTTACTTAACTACTTTGTGCCTCAGTTTTCTCATCAGTACAATGGGGTAATAGGACCTACCTCGTGGGGTTGAGGTGAAGATTAAATGAGTTAATGCAGGAGAGTACTTGGGGCACAAAGTGTGCACTATCAAAGCTTCATCTCAGGCTTGTGAGCTCCCCACTGGGCTGTCCTGCACCTTCAGCTGTGGCCCACAAGCCGACCCCTGGAGCTCACAGAGCTTTTGCCACTTGGTTCTCCCACTGGATTTCCACCTCCCCACCCTGTCCCTGCACAGCCCACACTGGTCCCTCAGCTTTGGAGCCAGATGCATGCCAGTCAGGGCTGAGTACTTGTTTTTGCTTCTCCTCCTGCATAGCACCTCCTCCGAGTAGCCTATCAGGATCCCAGCAGTGGCTGCACCTCCAAGACCCTGGCCGTGCCCCCAGAGGCCTCGATCGCCACCCTGAACCAGCTCTGTGCCACCAAGTTCCGAGTGACGCAGCCCAACACTTTTGGCCTCTTCCTGTACAAGGACCAGGGCTACCACCGCCTGCCCCCTGGAGCCCTGGCCCACAGGCTGCCCACCACTGGCTACCTTGTCTACCGCCGGGCAGAGTGGCCTGAGACCCAGGAGGCTGCAACAGAGGAGGAGGGCAGAGGGCAGTCTGAGGCAAGGAGCAGAGGGGAGGAGCAAGGGTGCCAGGGACATGAGGACGCTGGGGTCAAAGCCAGCCCCAGGGACACTCGGGAAGAGTCTGAGACAACTGCTGAAGGGGGCCAGGGTCGAGCCCGTGAAGGCCCTGCTCAGCCAGGGGAGCCAGAGGCAGAGGGAAGCCGGGCAGCAGAGGAGTAGCTTGAAGTGGCCAGAAGGGTCGTTTGGGGCGGGAGACCTTGCGCCTGCTGAGAAGTCCTTTTAGCGCCAGCAGCCCCACCCAGGGCCCTGTCCAGTGTCTGCCACCACCTTTGTCTGATACTTGTCTCCAGGGAAGCTGAGGGAACTGCCACATCTGAGGAACTGGAATAAAGATGAGGGGGCTCGGGGGACCCCCAGACTGTGTGCCCAAGGCCCCTTGCCTCTTGTTCTTCTCACCCAGCTGAGGGTGAGCCAGCCTGCAATGGGGAGTGTGCCAAGTGGGGGCGAATCTGATGGATGCCCAACCTCTGACATGGGGAGGGTAACGGTCTCGGCTCCTTTTACCCTTCCCCCCATGGGCGTGACTGAGTCAGGGCTCCACCCCAGTAGCCCCCACCAGGCTGAGACTTCCAGACCCTAAAAGGTTCCAATGGCTCCTAGGTGTCAGGAGGATTTAGAAAGGCCACGGAACAGCAGCAAAGGCTCAGAGCCCATCCCTGTCCTGGACACCCGAAGGACCTGCACCTGCAAGCGTCAGTACTCTCATCTGTAAAGTGGGGACACTATTGCTGCCCTGCTCGGTTCCCAGAAGTGTTTCAGTGATCAAAATGGGTGATTTTGCACAAGCAGAGCTCATGGCAGAAAGGGAGGGAGAGAGCTGGGCTGCTAACTCTCTCCTGGAATCTACTCTCTGCCAGACAGGGCTCCCACCTGCTGACACCTAGTTCAAGGAGGTTATTCCCCCGGAAATCAGGCCCTGGGGAGAAAGTACCCAAGTTACAGTCTCTCCCCAAGATTTGGAGTCCTCCCAGGCCCTCCAGCATCTCTGGGGAGATACACCAGCTGGCAGATAAGCTTCCAGAATGGAGGGGGGGCTCAGAAACCATGCTCTCTGCACTAAACTCTTGGCCGTCACAAAAGCTTTACCTGGCCGTGGCTTGTTGGGCCCACTGAGGTTCAGGAAAGTGACTCCCAGGATGTCATACAGCAAGTCCTTACAGGCTCCCCCAAGCAAACCAGGGCATCAGGTTCCAACTCCACCCTCCATTCTAAGTCACCCACAAAGGCCGGGGCAGCCCCCAAGGAAGCCCAGAGCAGGTAGCAAATCCAAACAAGGAAAAGTGCCGACGACCAACCACGAGGGGGCGTGCATGGCCAGGGAAGCTGCCGAGAGGGAAGCTGGCCACACAATGCTCACGGTACCCAGAGGTGAGGGCGCCTCCAAGGTTGTAGCAGCACAGGGGGTCCCTGGCAGCGTCAGGCAACCTGGGGACAGCGCAGGGACCGAGGCTGCTGGCCCCCAGGTCCCTTAGGTTCTGGGGTCTGGGTAAGGCCAGCCTCTCGTGGGCCATCCCCAGGAAGGAAGGAATTGTCCCCCCGTGGAGGATGACCCCAGAGGTTCTCTCCTCAGGCACTGAGCACAGAGGGACGTCAGCCCACATGTCAGACATGACAACTGGGAGGTAGAAATTGTGGACATTGGCTTTTTGGGTTTTTTTGTTTTTTTGTTTGTTTGTGATGGAGTTTTGCTCTGTCGCTCTGGCTAGAGTGCAGTGGTATGATCTCGGCTCACAGCAACCTCCGCCTCCCGGTTCAAATGATGCTTCTGCCTCAGCCTCCCAAGTAGCTGGGACTACAGATGTGCACCACCAAACCTGGCTAATTTTTGTATTATTAGTAGAGATGGGGTTTCCCCATGTTAGCCAGGCTGGTCTCAAACTCCTGACCTTAGGTGATCCACCCACCTTGGCCTCCCAAAGTGCTGGGATTACAGGCATGAGCTATCGCACCCAGCCAGTCACTGACTTTCAGATGAGCAGTCCAGATACAGCCCAGTTGCAGGGCTCCCAAATTTGTCACTAGGCCACCAGCAGCTCTTCTCTTCCCAATTCCATGCCCTCCCAAGCTTCTTGCTGACAGGAAGTGTCCCGTTAGCTCTTCTGTCCTCCCTCCCTGTTTCACCACTCACCCCTAGTGCCTCGCACAGTCCAATGCTGAGCACAAATGCCATAGGCGCTCAATAAATATTGTTCACGGATTGGAGTTTGATAACTAGGAGTGAGGGACAGTGAGGCAGAAACCTGGGGAGTATAAGGGAGGGCTGGGTACTGGGAATCAAACACAGGATGTGTCAAGCTCAGTCCCAGAGGAAGGACGTGGAATGTTTGTAGAGGGTGCTCAGAGGATCCCAGGGGCCGGATGTACAGCTGGTCTCATGGGAATGAGGCTCTGGGGCCTCTGCAAGCCCTTCCCACCCTTGCCAGGCTCAGCATGACCTGACCCCCTCCCTGCCCTCGCCAGTGATGGAGCACCACAGGGGGCTGCTGCTGCCTGGGTCTTGTGGTTTTTCTTCTCAAGAAACTCTGGGCTGTGCCTGGTGGGTCACTCCTGTAATCCCAGCACTTTGGGAGGCCGAGGCGGGTGGATCATCTGAGATCAGGAGTTCGAGACCAGCCTGGCCAGCATGGTGAAAACCCGTCTGTACTAAAAATACAAAAATTAGCCAGGCGTCGTGGCACGCACCTGTAGTCCCAGCTACCCTGTAGCCCAGCTACTGGGGAGGCTGAGGCAAGAGAATTGCTTGAACCTGGGAGGTGGAGCTTGCAGTGACCTGAGATCACACCATTGCACTCCACCCTGGGCAACAGAGCAAGAGTCCTTCTCAAAAGAAATAAATAAAAAAACACAATAAAAATAAAAAAATAAAAAAACTGATTGGTCAGGGGTCCAGGCCAAATCAGCAGCATCAGCAAGGTCATGATCCTGGGGCAGAGCCTCCAGGCAAGGCAGACAATGATAGGCCAGTGTAAGACCGGTCTCACTAGCCCCATTTTACAGATGAGAAAACTCAGACTTGCTCAGGGAAAGTGCCTTGTTACAGGGCAAAGGGTTCAGACACCAGGTTCTGCAGTCCTTCAAAGCAGAAGGGCTGATTTATTTGTCCACTCAGCACATTTATCAAATGTCCGTTATAGGCTGGGTGAGGTGGCTCAGGCCTATAATCCTAGCACTCTGGGAGGCCGAGGTAGGCAGATCACCTAAGGTCAGGAGTTCAAGACCAGCCTGGCCAACATGGTGAAACCCCATCTCTACTAAAAATACAGAAATTAGCTGCGCAGGGTGGCTTGTGCCTGTAGTCCCAGCTACTTGGGAGGCTGAGACGGGAAAATCGCTCGAACCTGGGAGGTGGAGGTTGCAGTAAGCCGAGATCATGCCACTGCACTCCAGCCTGGCCGACAGAGCAAGACTCCAACAAAAAATCAAACAGCAACAACAACAAAAGTGTCTGTTATAGACCAAGCGCTAAGCGCCCCCAGCTCCAGCCAAAGGGAAACAGGTCACATCTCTCCATTCACATGGTGTGATCTGGACGGTAACGGAAAGTGCACTGTGTCCTAGGGATTCCGTGCCACCCCTTCCCCAGTCTCTGTCCCTATGGAAAAGGAAACCAAGGCTCCAAGAGGTGACATGCCCGGCCCAGCGTCCACTCTGCAGGGCAAGACTGGAACTCTGACGTTTGGATCTGTTAACGAGCAGCCAGGTCATTTCCTTACTTGGAAACGTTGCCCTCATCACTCCTAAAGTCACGGTGGTTCTGTATGCAAATTTATTGTCTGTCTCCCTCACTAGAATGCCAGAGCCAACCCCGCCTTGTTCCTAGCTAAATCTCAAGGGCCTTGAACAATGCCCGGGCCGGAATTGGTACTTGTGAGTCTATGTGGAATGACTGATTCCGAAAGACGCAGCCTAAACCGTCCCTCCACTTTCCTGGAGAGCAGGGCGGCGCATCCTTCATCGCTGCCACCAGGGGGCAGAATGCGCCTCATTCCTGGCCACGTGCAGGGTCCCCTCTGCTGAGAAGGCCATCCAGAGGACCCAGGGGGCTCAGTGCTGCTGGCCTGGTGCTAGAAGGAAAGTGCACGGCAGTGGGTCCCTGGGACCCTGCGAATAGGGGGTGAGGGAAGGGCTGCATGTCCCTGGTTCTGTGGGCCATGGTGATCCAGGAACCAGGGGCCTACTGGGAGGCGTGAAAGGGGTGCAGCAGAAGGCAGTCATTGAGACCCACCCCACCCTGCCACACCTTCAACACAGAGCATCTAGCACCCTGCCATGGCCTTGCAACCCATGTTCACACCCACAATTAACACACAGTGACACTGTCTGACCCACATTCCCACACAGTGTGCACACCCTGCCAGCCACGAGCATGTGCAACAACCCTGGGGCACCCCCGGGTTAACAGGCACACCCTGACACTGTCACTCCTGCGGGATGGGGCACAGGGACACACTGGCGCCCCTCCTCCCAGACAGACCCTGACACAGACCAGCCACCCACTCAGACATCCCTGAATCTGCAAACACTGAACTATTTCAGCACCCTTGTTCTTGGGTTCAGAGTGTGACTCCCAGACACACATACATGGGGACAGGCTGACACAGAGACACATGGTGACCCCATGATGCACTAGACCTACCTGTGCAGAACTGCCACTGGCACACTCCATCCCCCACTCAGACGCGACGGCGCACACTCTCCCAAGACACAGCAGCACACGGCTGCCCCTTCCCACTCTCCAAGCACTGGAAGTGCAAACACACACAGAGACACACTCACAAAGACACACACAGACACACACACAGAGACACACAAAGACAGACACACACATAGACACACACACAGACACACAGACCTTTTATACTTTGGAGCACACAGAAGCAGTCCAAGCTCTCCCCTGAGTCACCTCACTGCAGCCCTGGCCTGCTCCACCACCACTCACCCACCCCAGCCCATGCTGGACCCTGGAGGGAGATGTGGGTTGCTGAGAAGACCCCCATGAGGGGAGTGGTGACCCCACTAGCCAGGCAGGAGGCAGAGGCAGGCAGTGCTGGGCGGGGAGGCCTGAGCTCATCAGATTCCAGCCTGAGTGATTCACGGGAAGAGCCTAGGGAGGACCCTGGAGGAGACACTGGCCCAGGGGCTGGGGCATTTGGGGCCTGAGTGGACTTTGGACCAGAGGGTCCTGGGTCCAGAGCGAGCCTTGAGTCTGGGGGCAGAGGGCTTCCTGAGGGGTGGCTCAGCCTGAAGGGTGCCTGCTGGGCGCAGCCCCTGGGAGGGGCTCAGGGCTCAGCTGAGACGCAGGATGAGACAATTGGCCCTTCCCACCCACCCCACCCAGGGCCAGGGCCCCTGACCCCACGCCTTCCAGGT